TTATTGATTGGTGATTTTGAACTCGCATCGAAAAATCAAATAAAGCATTTATGAAATAAAAATAGAAATTATAACATTTTCAGCATTTGGCAAATCAGACGTTACATTTTTAGACAGAGAGTGGGAAGGTATTGAAGAATTACTAAACGAAACAACGTTCCATTTTTCTCTTTTTTTACGACGTACAACTTTTGGGCATAGTTCATTACGAAGCCTACCCGCTTCTTTTGCTATTCTCTTATATTCTTTGCGAACAGTTTCAGATTCAGATTCCCAGGACCGAGAACAGACTGATAAAACAAATGATTCAGAAAATTATTTCATGTATTTCACGTGATGCAAGAAACTTACTTTGCGATATGACAGTCATTGGCAAGGAATAACCATTTGCTCGGGAAGCTTCAACAAATGCCTTGCGATATATTATAAAAGCATTTGGAGCTCGAGATAATGTATCATCTTTCTTGGTAATTAAATCTCGAGGATCAATAGTCGGTGGAAATGGTATTTTAATAAACGGATAGGAATTAATGATCACTTGATTTTGCTTGCCGGGGATGTTTGAATCTATAAATACACGACCACGTGATATGGGATTTTCAGCGTCTCTGTTCATATCGAATCTTTTCTACCATGATATTAGAGCTTACGATGAGAATTTATATACACATTTTATGGCTTGAGAAAATAGTCTGATTCAAGTATACGAATGGAAAACGTGGTGGTCAAAAAAATAGGGTTGTGCATTTCTATAAAAAAAAAAAGGTGACATATTAAAAATACTAATTTTAGTATGGTGCAGGTTAAAGTTTGTGTATCTTGCCATTCTTAGCATTCTATATAGGATCTTTAAATTTCCATAAAACACTTAGCATGCCACGAATAAATAGCATGAGAATAACAATTTGGGCATTTATAGCAAATAATGAACCTTCCATAAAACCATAGGCATATTGCAAGCACTTAATTCAATGTAGCCAAACAAAAGGCTAATGAGGTTAAAGTTGTTTTTTAAAAATACTAATTAGAAGTTTAAAAAGGTTAACATATTATGTGAACGCAGTAGTAATTCAGTGTATCGCGTAGGATTAACTAAAGGAGTGATTCACGTGTCTCTACAAGTTCACATGAGTATGCTTAATCATGTTAATCATCGTGTTAGCGTTAAAAAGTTAAAGCACGCGTTTTTAAACATATCGCTCAACCATACTCACGTGATTGTATCACATGAAAACCACTTTGGTCCGAATTTTAACCGGTTATTTTATTTCATTAAAAAATGAAAGTGGATAGTATTGGCGTTAGGCGTAACTACTTATCTGTTATGTCTGTTATGTCAGCTTCTAAGAAATAAAGTCACGCAATTTTCGGAAATTTATGGTGTTTTTAATATATATATACTCTTATGTATATATATACAAAAAATAAAGGGTAAATTAGGGTTTCGAGATTGATGTATGAATGAATGAAAAGATAATTTTTTAAAGAAACTTTTGGTTGATATTTGAAAAAAACAACACGAGGACGACTTTAATACTTCTTTTATTACTTTTCGATAAACATGATTTATCACGTTACCTAGTAAGGAAAAAGTAATTAATTAAACATGCGTAAAGATAGTTCGCCAAATTAAAATGCATGCAAATGTTGATCGACATTTTACACCCATACACCAATATCGACGTCGGGTCCCAGGAATTTTAGGTGCTTTTGCATCACTGGGGACAAAGAGAGTAATATTAACTGCTTCTATGTTATAATTTCTATTTTTATTTCATAAATGCTTTATTTGATTTTTCGATGCGAGTTCAAAATCACCAATCAATAA